AGTTAAAATTTAAAATGTTTTCATTGGTTGATATATTTTATTAAAATTTTAACTTTAAATTATTTTTAAATATGTGATGATATATTTTTAACATTTTTAAATTGCTATAAAATTAATTTATAAGAAACTTTGTATTATATTTTAAAGCTTGACTTAGATATTTTGATATTTTAATAGCTTATAAATTGCTCCAAATAACTAAAAAAAAAGCAAAAGAATTATTAAAATTACAAAAATGTATAAAAAAGCTAATATTAATGTTTGATGAAAAGTTAAAGTAAATAAGTACAGTTATTCATTTTGCAGAATAATAAAGTAATAAACTATTTATTGTCGAAACTAGTTACTTTTTAATAACAGGTGCGTTATATATTTTAAGAATACATGTTGAAAAGTAGGTACTGAGAATTTTTTACTTTTGATTCCCTTCTTTTTTTTATAAAGAAAAATCAACTATATTTCTATATCAGAAACTACCTTCAATATTAAAGATTGAATAATTTTTACTGCTATGAAAGGTGATGGGCACTAATGATACGTACAAAAAATACATATCATTTTAAAATCAATACATTCATCGCTCCGCAACATAGAATCTGTAACTAATATCTTAAAAAACTTAATAGATACTAAGTACATTAATGTTGACGGGAACAATAATACGTTGTTTTTATTTATTTTTTTATACTTGTATCTATTCGCTCTGACTGATTGGGCTTGATTTTTTTTTTAAATTCACATTATAGAATACATAGGTTAGCTATAACTGAATACTTGTATACGATATACCAAATCCATATATTATAATATCGTTATGTAGGTGTCTATTATCATTACGATCTACGCAATTTCATAATTACCATAAACCTCAAATGTGTAAACCAAGGCCTAGGATTATAATCCTGTGATGTGTCATACACATTTAAATAAAATTAAATATAAAACACAAAAGTTAATCATGAGATTTTAGTAAAATTGAATATTACCTATAATAAATAATTATACCATCAATTCCCGCAGTAATTAATTATTATCAATTATTATAATGATTAATAAGGATACACGTATTTTACGAGTATACAAGGAAGAAAACTATACTGCAAGAGTTAATTGAAAAAAAGGTAGGTAAGTGAGTACCGTTCTGCTGTACATTATACGTTGAGTAGGTTACTATTATTTGTAGGTTTGCTAAATTTGAATTCAATGATTATTGATCAATTATTATAGACGAAAAGGAATTATTTTGAGCGGAAACGGTCTATCAGCCTATATCACTAGGTGATATAGTTTTTTGATAAAAGTACCAAGTTATTATTTTACTTTTAATATTATAGTAGGTTGGTATAATTTTTTCTAAAAATATTGCACTTATTTTATAATTGATACTTAATTATTATAATAATGTATTATACTTATACTATATTGTATCATTTATATAATACAATTTAATAATATTTATCTATAAATGCTCTAAACCAGTAAAAATAGATTCATAGCATCTATAAATAGATAAAATAAATAAAAAATGTTATTGCCTATAATAAGATTAATAGTTACTTAAAATACATAAAAAATATAAGTTATCATAAATAATGTTTTTAAGTTATAAAAAAATAATTAACATATCGTTATTTATCGTTCAAAAAAGTGATTTTTCCAAATTCACGGCAAATTGAAACTTAAAATATTTATAAAAAATAATTAACAACATACATCTTTTAGATTTTATGGTTTTATAGTCTGAATATTTACGAAGAATTTTTTTTACAATTTTCAAAAATTAGATACAAAAAAAAAAGTTCATATGAGTTTTGAATTACAAAATAGGTTTTAATTATTTGTGATTTTCATCAAAATTTTTATTTCAAATGTACATAAAAAAAATTGTGCTTATGTATTTTTAATATTTTTGTACAAATATAAGTATAATTTTTGTGGGATCTTGTATTAAATTTTCAAGAATCTTGATTTAGCTTATAATTTTTTATCGACATTTTATCAACTAAAAAAAAAAAAAATGATCATTTGGTGATAATTACAAGTAAATATTATTATATATTTTTGAAATATAAAAAAATATCATACATTTTTTGTAGAAATAATTATTTTTTGAGTGAATATCGTATGTCGTAAAAATTTGATCTTGAAATGCTCATAATAAATTGATTTGGCTTTTTGGTAAAATTTTCTTTTTCATATAAAAGTTAAAAAGCTATTGAAGAACCTTGTACTAAATTTTTAAATCTTTGGTAAAAATAAAATTTTTATGAATTTCTTACAAAATAATTTACTTATATTCGTTATTTTTATAAATATTGTTGAAATTCTATTTTTTACATTTATAAAAAAATATTGTGATTATAGATATTGATATTTTTCAACTGAAAAATGAACAAATTATGAGAAGCTTTGTAGTCAATTTTCAAGCGTTTTTATTCAAAAAATAATATTTGATAACATTTATAAAAAAAAAAAAAATTGAAAATTTTGCTGGAAGTAGCTCAATTATTTTGAAAAATACTGGTAATTTTTAATTTTGTTCTTTCTAATGTACAAATAATATTCATCTTGCTATCTAAAACCGCCTTCAAAATTGAAAATCGAAGAAATTTTTCTACAACTTATTATATATTTATACAATAAAAATATCACGAAATATTGTAAAATAAATGCATTCATCGATATTCGCTCTATTCAGAATCTATAAACTTAAAAAAAAAATCCCGCATCCATTTATTTTAAGCTATTATGTACTTAGTTGTATCCCAACTTAAGACTCGATTTTAAGGAACACATGAGCTAAAGGTACTTTATTGAAAAGTTTTCTTTTTTAAAATCCATTTTCACTATTATCAAACACCAAAAAATATATAATTATTAATTAGTGCATCAAATGGACTTCTTAATAGCAATTCTTTAAGGGGCTTGCAATATTATTGAAGTTGCACTTCGTTCTTTTGAGACTTAGATTTGGTTATACTAAAAAACCATTTAATTGGAGTGAAAACAACCAATAGCTCTGGTCGCAAAACTCTCACCTCTAATATTTACGTCAATACAATTTAAATGTATTTTAAATTTTTACATTACCAATGGACATTTTTAACACGATTTTAGTGTAAGCATTATAACATGAAGAAAAATTATTGTGATTGTAATAAATTTTGAATTCATAATGATATTTATTTTTTCATATCACCATTTATCATTATTATGTAATATACTTATAATAGGAATATTAGAAATTGTTTATTTTATACTGTGACATTAAATTTTGTATTGGAAAATAAACGATATTTATATTACTATCTAGTTGTGAAATTCTTGAACTCATATAACTTTAAAAGAAGCTAGTAGATAGCACTGCTAGTTAAAAACAAAATATTAATTTTTCTGACGTTCTGCACAACCAGTAAGTTATACTTATATATTTTCGTTCCAAGAACAGAACGATGCATGAGCCCTAGTTATATCTCCAAGAAAGGAGTAATTTTTGTTTTTGATTTTAATATAATATACATCATCTTAAGTACTTCTTTATTAATTAATATAAATCTATTATTTTTATTTATAACTGCAGTAATCCAGATAATTTAAATAAAAATAATCATTCATAATAATAATTCTCAAATTATTTAATATTCATAAGTATATTTAATGGGTTAAGTATTGACATAGGTTTTTGTAGGTATTTGACGGTATTTTTCTAAAATGTAATCTTTGTGGTGGAAATCCTAGAGAATGACTAATGAGTATTATGGTTGTATTGCAAGGTGAAAGCACTCATTAGATAGGTTATTCTTATAGATTTGTACCTTGAATACGAATAAAAATTTTCTAATAAATTGTTAATTTAAAAATATGTATAAAAAAGTGACATAGAAAAAAAGGTATTTATTAATTAAAAATTTAAAAGGTAAAAAGTAGAAATAATGTTTATCCGTAGCATCAAAATGAAATGAAACACATTTTTATATCTTTATTCAAAATATTATTTGTTTTCAAATTTGAATTCTATTGATGAGGTAGTCATTTATATTGTCTATGTCCAATAGTATAGCAATTTAATATTTATAGTATTGTTTTGTGTAGCTAAACAGTAAACATGTTAGTTATATATTAAATGTATGATGGGTGTATAATTTAGTTGTGATAAATTAACTTTCCATGTTAAACGTCAATGTCAAGTGCTGACACATACATCATTTGGGGAATGTAAAAATGAAATAAACAGTGCTAAATATTGATTCACAATTCACAAAGTTGAGATTTTAAAGTTTGTCGGTTTGGTTCTTATTTGGAACGTAAAGAGTGATAATTATTATAGTGTTTATATTTCTCTGATGATAAATTTGTTAAATTATTAGGTACCTATTTTTTGATGAAATATAACTATAAAAGTTCTGCACCCAATCCAATGATATATTATTATGCATAAACGTTTGAAAATACGTTAAAAAGTTAAATAGTTCATAGTTCATAGTTTTTATTAATATAAAGTCTTAAAATAATATTTTGATTATATAGCACGGGTTACAATAATATGATTTAAATAAAAATTTTAAATAATTCAAAAACTTAAAAATAATTATATGCTAATTTATTATTATGTTTTATAATATACGAGTATTATATATTTATATATAAGTAATTATACAGCGTATTTAAAATTATTCAATGGGATTAGGATTTAGAGACGATAGAGCTTCAGAAATTTAATCATATTATGGTATGAAAAATGACAACATAATAAATAATGTGATATTGTACATAGACTTAAATCTGTAATATTTATTATATAGGTAACAGTATAATACAATAAGAACTTTTATATTATACTAAAAGTTAAGACCTAAGTCCTATTTAGTACACATAAGTAGAATTGTATTATAATCATACTATATGGAATATAAGTTATATATATATATATATATAAACTATACTATAATTGTATTATAATCATATAATTTATTTATTTTTAATAATAATTATAGGTATACACGAAAAGCTTGAATTATTTTATACTATTTATTAATTGTTGGGGTAAAATTGAATATGTCTATTGTCTATCTATATAAGGATGAGCTGTGCCACTGTAGTAAAGTTCTTATAAATGTAACACATATACCTTTGAAGAATCATGAGGGGGAAGAGTTTTAAAAATGACTTTACCATTTTCATCTAGATAATCTCGAAAATACGAAGTATATATGCACTCAAATCCAAGTCTCTCTGCTGCTTTAGCTGAAAAATAACTGCTGCATTCTATATAAACCATTGGGCATTTATTTTCCAGCGCTAACTCTCTGAAAAGTCAAACATAATAAAATATATGTCTAAATATTAAATATCAATATTTAAATTAAGAAAATATAAGTGTACTTATAATTTATACATAGTCTATACAATAAATAGGTATAAATATATAATATTAATAATAATTTATTCAAGAAGCTACAATAATTATACATAAAGTAAATACTAACATCATTAATCTAGATATATGTATGTATGTATAAAGCTTTACATACTACCTACACTGTCGGTTAAATTTTTTCCAAGAAGAGATTTTAAGTTAAATTTATATCGAGAAAAAATATCATTTTCATAACATGATATTTTATTTTTGTTAAGTTTTAAAAATAATTTATTATATTATTTTGAATTTTATTATTACTTGCTTTAAAGTTTAAATATTTAATTAAATGAATAAATGGTTTATAGATTAGGGATTTTTAAAAATAATAGGAATTGCAGTCATTAATTTTTAATATATTTATATTCGGTAAAATTATTAATTAGTAATTTTCAGATAGGTCATAGACTTATTCATATTTGAGAATTTTTGAGGAGCTTGGGTGTGTTTATGAAGTAACAACTTTGGCTTTAAAATCGATACCCTTATTAATTAGGCCACTTAATATTTGAGTTAAGTAGTTCTTATTTTATAATAATGAATTAATGTGTTAAGTTCAAAGCTATTATTAAGTGCTTAAGTGATTATTGTGTGGGAAGCATAAGTTTCTTGTTGTGTAATCCACATTTTAAAAATTAAAATCAATTTACAGATTTGTTTTATTTAATAATAGTAAAATATTTAATGTTTAATGTATAATAACTATAATTATCACATTTTTATAGTAGGTAATAGATAACTTTGGTAATATACTTTCTACTTAAAAACTAAAGAGGTACAAAACTATTAATAAGCTTACATTGTCTTATCAATTAGAGCTTTGCATACTCCTTGGCCTCTAAATGATTCATCTACAGAAATTATTTTTATATCCATTACACGATCTATACTTGGGTATTTTTTGAAAACATCTGCTTCTCGTTCGACTTTATCTAAAAATGTTGTAATAACACTAAACTTGGTGTTATCTTTTATGTCTTCTTCGCTTTCGTTATTTTTTTCGCCGTCTTCTCTGTGCATCACATTATTTAAGACGACACCTATTAAGTCTCCATTAGGAGATACTGCTTTAAACGCCAAACCTGAATTTCAAAATAAAATACGTAATTTAAATGAAAATCAACATTATATAATATTTTATACATATAATTTTAAATAATTTATTATTAACTGATTAATAAATACTAGAGTAGAGACATATACAAAATATTAAAATATACATTTATACTTATACAGTATACACTAAACATAGTTTTAATTAGCAGTTTAGTAAATAAATATTAAAAATAAATAAAATGTAGAGTAATAAAAATATTAAATAAATCATGGACAATATCTGATTCTATAAGTGTGTACAGTTAAATATTAATTTGACACACTACCAGTTGGGTGTAGAGAATTTCAAATAATCAAATAAGTAGAAGAAATGACTATCAGTTTTATAAATGTAATGCAAAAAAAAAAAAAACAAAAAAAAAAATAGACAAAAAAAGAAATATGACTAAAAAAGAAAAAATTATCTAAATATGAAAAAATAAAAATGAAAACTCCAGATTTGGCTTTGTCGTAACACAAACAAAATTGTTTCTAACTACCATTTTTTTACAACTATACAAAACGAACCTGCCAGTAGTGTTAAAAAAACCTCTGCCCCACTAGTAATTACATAGTTTTTTTTTTTTTTTACTTAATACATTTTTGTTATTGATTGTTGTTTACATTTAAGTATTAGGTATATTTCATATAGGCTCGTATATATGGTTTCTTAATAGAAGCAAGTAATATACAATATTAAATATTTTTTTATTCACAAAAAAGTGGTTATTGTATCAGTTAATAAATAGTACGTAATACAGTTAATTAAATTTATGTCATTAATATATTATTTGCCAGTAAGGAACGATTAAATTTAAAATAATTTAATATTTAAAAAAAACATTATCTTCAAAATAAGTATGCTAAGAAATATTCTAACGGATACATAAATTATTAATCAATAACTTCAGTTGTTAAAAGGACACCACACCAGTATGTGTTGTTATAATTTTACAAAGCAAATTTACGTTCAGTAATTTCAGTTGTGTGTAGTAATTTAAGATTTAATAATAGAGTAAATTGATTCATTATCAAACTTAAATGTTGGGACCATTATTTGTGTTTTAAAGATATTTTAATTATTAAATGAGTTATAAAAATAATTTTTAAATTGTAATATTTTACATAGGTACTTTTGCTTAAACAAAGATATCGTAAAAAAACAAAACAGATAATTGCTTCTTTTTAGGTTTCATAATAAGGGCTGTAACACGATTGAGCATTTGAGCATAAAAACCTTTTTTGCGACACGATTGAGCAAAATTGTCGGTGTATCAAAGGAAATTAAAATATAAAAGAAAACCTACACGATTAAGCATAAAAAACTATGCAACGTTGCCATTTTTAATTTTGAACTGTATTAAACAAAAATATTTATTCAAATAATTATAATAATTCAAAATATAACATGTTATGATTTCATAGTCCATAATATGTAACATACCTAGTCACATTATAATAGTATTTAGATTGTTTGATAATAATAGTAATAATAATAGTTATGACATGAAAATAATAAAATTAAAATATTTATAAGTCCATAGTAGTCTCAATAGTAGTCAAATTATATAATATATAAATCTATTTGATAATAATAATAAATTAAATTACATTATTATACCTTGGTATCTGTTTCCAAGTTAGCTTAAATATTTTAATAAAGATTCCGTATTCTTACGATTTAAATATTGGTCGAAAGCTTGAACATTAAATTCTAGCTTGGCCAGCTCACAGTTCGCGTCTGATTTGATATCAATGATATCATAATAATTGGTGTAATAATATATGTGAAAATAATAAACTAGAAAATGTTCGCATCGTGAATGTGGCAACATCACATAAATTATTCTATGCTTAATTGTGTTGCTAAAAAGGTATATGCTCAATCGTGCTTTATCGATAATAAGTATATGCTCTCTATTATTAAAGATTATTACACAAAATCACTAAATTGGAATTGTTGATTATAAATTTGATATATCGTATATTTATACTATGAAGACACACATGCGGATTTTGCGTTCTCTTTAATTGGTAATTTGATGTCGATGTCTGAAAAAATGATCTTCTTATTAATCATTTAATTTAGTCACAAGGGAAAACTATTTTCTTTCAAATAAAAGCACAAATAGTTGGGTTAAATTTGAATTTTTTTAACTTTTTTAACTCGCTAATGCACAGCTTGAATATATTTAAAAAGGTTTTATCATATAATTTGAAAGTTGTAAGTACCTATCGAATAATATTTATTATATTATTCATATAAAATTTAGGTATTTTTATGTTATATAAATATATTATTTTTAATTTTTATGACAATAAAAAAAAAAAAACGTATGATTTTTAAAAGAAAGTATAAAGTGTATTGTATATTACAATTTTATGTTTGAGCTTACCATTATCCATAAAATTAAAACAGTAGTTTTCAAGTTTTGCTAAAGAATCATAATCTTCCCGCATATTTATACCCAAAATAAGAGGTTCATCTCGGAAGAAAAATTTTCTTAAAAAGTCAATGACAACTTGTTTATCTTCAGCAGTAGTTGGGACAATGTTATGGCTATATTTGTTGACATCACTCATTTTTCTAAGATTTTGAATACTTAAATTCTGAAAACTTAATGTTCATATATTTATTTATTGTTAAATAATTCGGTGATTATAATCATATTGTGAAATATAATAATGCGTAGATGATCTTTAAACTATATTACAGATCATTAAAATGCTTAAAATTTTAAAATAATTGATATTATTTGCATTTTTAATTTAGTTACACCTACTCGATATTTTCATTAAATTAAAAGTTGAAGTACGCATACCTATAGGCTATGAACTTTTTCATGAATTTAACATTGAGATTTTTATTATAGTTGAATTATTAATTTAAATTAACTTTCAATAAATATAAATTTGTGTACAAAATGTTGATATAATGTATACAATTTATATTAATTAAGTTGGTTTTTATAAATTTCAATAGTAAAAAAATATCTAACGTAACTTATTTTGCCACACCCAAATACACACTCCCAAGGAAATAATTACAAAATTAAGCAATGTAATAATAGTTATAACTATGTTAATTTGAAATTTAAAAATCATAAAATTCTTATAAATTTTAAATTTTATAATAGCAAACCAATATTAAAGTTTGTTTAATTAATTAACGATTTTAGATCTAGTTTTTTTTTTAAATATAATATGATAACAATATGCATTATTTTTAAATATAAATATATAAGAATCTATTAATTATTGTAACATTATACTATCAACAAAACGTTATTACCTTAATTTAATTATTTAGCGTTGTTCTATTTATACGATTTTTATATGTTTAATTTGATGATTGTGATTCGTTGATCTGTAGCGTAAAACTACGGCATCAGAACTTTCCTTCACTCATGGATTTTTGAATTTCGGGGTCTCCATAGCGACAAATAAGGGCGTCTCTATCACGACCTTGCTCACAATTGATTATATCTCAATATTCCTAATTTTCTTCCTATCTTTTGTTGTATTACATTTTATCAAATTATAAAATCAGGCATTAATATTAAAACAGAAAGACTCAAAGACATGAAATTGCAACTATAATTAATTTATATTTTATTTGCTTTGGAATATTTAGTTTAAAATGAAGTTACTTATCTACTTTAATAGGTACAATATTTTCATATAATACAAATAGACTATAGAGCATTTAGGTTTTATTATACATTTTAATTAAATTACAATTCAGGTTCATATTGAGTATAGAATTTTAAAAGTGCTATACATGCCTACAAATTAATGGTGTAGCCCGGGGGTAATGAAGAGGCTGCCCCCCCACGACAAAAACGCCACTGTGCTTAATATATCTATATAAATATTAAAATATACAATACACATATAAATTGTATGATATAGTATCTGTTCATTTTTTTTTATTTTTTAGTTTAAATAATTGGTTACTATTTTTTTAGAATAATATTTTAAATATCTAGTATAATATTTTGCTGTAAATGATAGTTTAGGAAGTTAGGAATAGCTTAGCAGGTATTTTTTTAGCCGATAACGGATATTGAAAAACATTATGATTTCAGTATAAAAAGACGTCAATCCAAATTTATTGTTTCCGATTTAGAATTACTTGAATTTACACTTATTTACGTTTAGCTTCGCCAGTTTTAATATTAAAGTGAATAAACCTATAATTAAATTTGATGGTAAGAACATTATCTTTGTTTGATGTTTGTATTTCGGGGTTTACGAACACAGATAAAGTTCTTAATACTAATTTTTATAATAGACCGATTCACTTTGATTTTATGAAAAATAACGAAGGTAAAAGTAAACTGCAGCTGAGCGTAAATTTTCCGTGTTATATACATTTGTAATTTGTAAGACAGAGACAACAAATGAGGTTGTAACTTGTAACGACTCCTTAAAATCATCAATACGTCATATTTAATCACATTTATAGTTTAATAGTAAATTAAATATAACTTTTATATTAGTAGAGCGATCGATAACCAAAATAATAAATATTTAGTGTTGAGACGAAAGAGTTAATATTACATGCAGATTAAAAGTATTGGAATATAATACTATGATTAAATATTCTTTTTTATCTATTACTTATTTTCTTTATTTTTGTTTTTTTAATATTATAAAATTATGTAGCCTAAATACATAATAAAATAATAGTATAACATATAATTTATATTTATTTCATTTTATTTTAAACATTTAAATGATATGAATTAGAATATTTTATCGAAAAACTTATATTTAGCACTAAAATGTTTTTTTTCTTATTACTCCTTTAGTTTAGAGTACTAAATATAAAGTATTTATTTTACATTAAATTTAAAATAAAATATTGATTAAAAATATATTTAACAATGTATTTGTTCAACTGTTGTTGATTGAATTTAGTTCATGATACTTATTTTTTAAATTTTAATAGTTTAAAAAACGATTTAAAATAAAAAAGTTAATAGGTAGATAGGTATTAATGTGGATAGGTAATAAGTAGGTTGGTAGGTAGTTAAAATAGAAGGGTGGCAGTATTGTGCTAAACAGTTCCCACCCGTTCCCGGTTTCAAGAAGGAAAAAAAAAAAAAGGTAGTTAAAATAGAAATAATACTTTTTTTACATTTGTTAAATTATGTTGTTATTAAAATGTATCAGTGGCATATTATTATTATTTTTACTTTTTTTAATAAAATAAAAATATCGTTTGGATTAAATATGTTTTGTACTATAATTTAACTAGTAAGTATATTAAATCACTAATATAAAAACAATAATTTTCCAATTACATGAAGACAAAAATTAGAACCTACCAATTTTATAATAATCACCAAACAATTTTTATTCTGACAGTTGAAATTAAATCATGAACTATAAAATTAAAAAAGATTATCAACAAAAAACACAATTTAATAACTTATTTTATATTACCTATACCCTAAAAAAAAATAATGTGTTTGTTACACTTTAATATAAGATAATTAACAAACATTAATATTGTCAGACACAGGTACATAACTATTACAACTCTCAAATAAAGTGAACACCTTTCTAGTTCATTGCTTTTTGTTATTTCATACATATTTGTGCATACAGCTGTGCACCACACTACTAAATTTTATTGCCTTAAATAGTGACGCATTATATATATATTTATTTATTTCAGATATAAAATAATTGAATAATTCTTATCTATCCACAATGTAAGACATTTTTGAAAACAATTGGTTAATAATTTCAGTTAGTATTTTATCAATGTTTACTTGTTAAGTATAAAATAAATAGGTATATGTTTTAAAATTAGTACAGTATTAATTAAAACTATTTGAATTATGTTATAATTATATTCATAAAATTATAATTTGTTCAGCAAGAATTTAACTAAACTAATGAAATATATTATTTACCAATATTACTATCGTTATTTGTATATCAAAAAGTAAAATAATATATAGTTTACTTATTAGTTATTATACAATATTTAATGTTGACCTTAATATAGACTTAAAAATTCCTTTTTGTGGGAAAAAATATCTTGAATAAGTTAAATACAATAAATATAAATTAAACTTAGTGTTTACTATCTAGAACACTATAAAATAAATTGAGTAAGTACATAAAGTATTAATAGATGATGTAATATTTTATAAATTCCGGAAAAATTATTTACTGTACGGTGATTAAAATCATACGCAGGATGACGAATTTAGGTGCTCACGGCTTTTCAATTTTATGTGAAAATATAATTTTTCCCAACCACTAAACTACACATAATATACATAATATACACAATTCATGTGAACCTATTAAATATATGTAATATGTATTATGTATATTGCAAAGTTTTCGAGTGCTCGCTGTTTTAGTTTTAAATGAAAATTGAACACGGACTAATTATTATTTTATATTAGCGATTACTGTTTAATATATCATGTTATAAAATTAAAAAGTTTATGCTATTATAATATTAATCATGAACCATTTACTATATATTTATGTAAACTAGTCATATTATAATAAACCTAAACTTTATAGATTACAATACTAATCTTTCTAATCCTCAAACCTATTTGGTCCTATGGAATTCAACTTTGGGGGTCAGCCAAAGACTCTAACACAAACAGAATTCAAAAATTTCAATCCAAATGCCTACGACAGATAACCAAAGCTCCTTTTTACGTATCGAATGATACGTCCACAGGGACCTCCTTATTCCGACAGTCAAAAACGTTACTAAAACCTTATACAAACGTTTCCACCTTAAACTTGCAAATCATCGTAACCCCCTCATCCAAAACCTCTCATCACTAACATTCCCAGGCGACCCTGATCGACATTTAAAACGCAACTGGTGCCGTGACTTACTAGTCGACTAACCACCACCACACACGCCATGAAGTGCTATTACTGAATAGCTTCTTCACCCAAACCAACCATGACCTATTATAATATCATACATCTATTGTGCGTATTGTAAATACTTTATACAGATTGTAAAAATAAAAATAATATGTGAAAAAAAAAAATCTTTCTAAATATTAAATAACATACTTAATTATTTGTAAAATTGTATAGTAATAGACTTATGAAATATTATTTCGCTAACATTTAGTTCAATTATTTTTATAATTTTATAAATAAGATGAACATTTACGACATTATAATTTAATTAAATGTTATAAAATTGCACTATTTAGTATTAATCAACAACATAACGATTTTATTAAAAATAGAGAATTATAATTTTTGTGATTATCAATTTCTATCTAATGTCATAATGTGTTTTTATTACTATTATAAAAATTATTCAGTGAAATAAAAAAATGATTAGTTTTTATAGTTTAGAAAGGTATAGCTGGTTAATTGTAAAACGCAGTCAAAATTTAATTTATACTATACTATTAATAAACTTATACTTTAGAAGTAGCAACAATTTATGATTTTCTTATCATTGCATATTTAACTTGTTGTTGCTGAAACGGTTTTCTTTTTCTTTTTGAATTATATAGCTACTAGTATATAATATATACTAAACCATTTAAACATAAACACATTACACTTAAATGCTGAATAGTCTTTACTGTGAAATATTTTTAAACTGTTGTAGATTAATTAAATACATATTGTAAGTTCAATTAAAACGTTATTATATTTGAATATTTTGTTTTATGACGCACATATTAGGTGCAAAAGTATAGATAACATTAACAAATTAAATTTAAACTATCTAATAAACGTTTATATGAAATACATATGTTATACAAACAGTGTTAAGTTATTGAGTGGGAATAAATACATAGCTACAAACCATATCGTAAATAAAATTAAATTCAGTAGTTAAAAAATAGCGATTTAAAACATGCCAATTATAATACACATATATATACGTATATATTAAGTACAGTATTTTAAATTATTATGAATAAAATAAATATTAAATTAGAATTCAATCAATATTATTAGAAATTAATAATGAGATATACTTATACGGGAATTGGGTATGTTACTCTAAAAAATTTCAATACAATGAGAGTGTCTAAATAAAGCAATTTCATAGTAAAAGAAAAGCAAATTATAGCTATATGTAACTAATATAATAAAAACTTTGGTTTATAAATATTTACCATTCATATGTATAAATAATTTACTAGTTTCTAAATGCACTGAATTTATTAACGAATAACATGTTACCGTCTAAATAAATAAATGCATAACGATTTACATTAAATACAGTAAAATTGCATGTCACAATGTTAAATATTACAGTAGTAAAAAAATTAATTTAATAAACAATGATGACTACTAATAAATGGTTTTAAAGAGTTAAAGAATCAAATCAATTTAAAATACGTTAAAAGAAATGCATTAACTGGTATCAGCGTTAGACGCATCACGGAATGAAAATTTATCATGAATTATGATTTATAATTATTATATAAAAATAATAATCAAAATTGGAATTTTAAAAAGTCGAAGAGTAAAAAACAACAAGGTTTCCAGAGTAAAATTTAAATAACAATTATGCTCTGACGAACATTTGTTTAAACTTTTTTCTTTTACGAGTCACTTTGGTTAGTAGGTTAAAGTAGGTACTGCTCTGCCATACGTTTGATGATGATTAGGTCACTTATAGAAATGTTAAATTTTAATTCATTAATATATATATATAATATACATGAAAAACTTATTATGAAAGGAGACAGTCTGTTAGCTTATATCAATAAATATATTCCATGATATTTTTTTTGAAAATAGCTATTGAAATAATTTATTTGACTATTATTAATACAGTAGGTTGAATTAATGTTTACCAAAAACATTGCATTTGAAAATAATAATTGTGTATAAAATCAAATAATATACTTACAATTTCTATACTCTTACGAATAATGCTTTTGAACTTTAACATAATAATGAATATTCATAATTTAAATATGTAATTTTGTCTAAATTTCAATTCAAAATATTTATTAAAATAAATTGTACCTAAGAGTTTAAATATTTTTATGTATTTATAGTAACAACTTATGTGGGATTTTGTATTCAATTTTCAAGTTTTTTGACCAAGAGAAAACATTTTTATTAACATTTATGGAAATAAAACTAAAATATACAGACAATTTAAAATATTTATAAATAACTTAAAAGAATAGAAATATTTTAAAAATTATACTATTTTTATGGAAATCATAATATAAAAATTTGGTTAAAATTAATAAACTCAATAGTAGCTGGACTGTCACAAGACAGCTGATCGTAGGCTAGGTTCACCTACGGAAGACTATGCAAATATGACGAAAAAATACTTTTGTACGTTTAATGACTTGAAACGTTAGTAAAAGACTAATAATATAATTGATTATGCAATCGCTCAGATCAACGTTTGATAAACAGCAATTATTGAAATTATTAATGACAATGATTTTTTCGCTAACTGGAAACAAGCTATAGACGTCGTTTTTCAGTTATACCAATAATGATCGTTATGATCTGAGATTTTGACCAGTAAAGTAGTTAAAGAATTATTAACATCTATCTATGTACGATCTGTAAATATTACAAAGTTCAATTACTTGTCTCGAATTCAACGCCGACGATGTATACTAATTGCACTGCAGGCACATAAGTCCTCGTGTGCGCGATTCGATGGTCCCATTCGACGGCTGGTCGTCGTTGATTTCACGTGTAGCATCATTAGGCATAGTAAGTTATTAAAAATACTTGAAAATAAGGGTATAATGCACGCATGCTAAACTAAAACAAATATGTTGAATTTTTGAGATATTTATTAGTATTTAGCGAAGTCTCGTTTGAAATTCGAACTGTGGATTGAGAATTCAAAAAATGGAAATATCTTCACTCCAATACTATTGTGTCTAGACCTGGTAAGTGCATCGAAACTTGAGAATGTTTAAAACATCATACCAATAACACGAAGTTTGGTTAGTCGTTTATAGTTTATCTATGTGATCAGGGGATCGAGATATTATTAAGTTTGTTAAGTCTATCGAAGTTGAGTTATTACGAATAGTTTAGGAGATTATCCTGAACAAAAAAAAACTACTATATTTTTTACAGGTATATATAAAGAAGATATAATATATATATTTCAGTTTCAATTTCTCTGGAAGTAATTACAGAGAAAACTGTGTAATGCGGACTCTGAATAAAACGGAACCTTCTAAATGTGAATACGGAATGATTTTGTAGGTTCCACGTCTAACCTTGCATAAACCGGAAATGTGTCACGAGTCACGTTACGTTGATGTGAGTATGTAAATACATTGTAAAACGATAAATTCAAATAAAACTATATTACATATATTAGTTAGATAATTTTTTTTTTTTGGTTATCGTACTTGCGATACATACTTATCCCGTATATATAATGTATAGTTGTGAAACATTTATGCACCAACAGTCTTATACTGAACAGTTTGCTTGTGCATACAAAGTGACGTCAATTTAAATACATATAATATTGGAAAAATAGCAACAACAGTGACAAAAAAAAAAAAGGTCTACATGATTTTTGGAAAAGATAAATATTTAAATTTAATTCCCAACCTTCATACTTATATAATATGTATGATTTGTTGATAGTCTATAATTAATCTAAAATCCGTTATACAAAGTCGAGTAATAAATTGAATTTATAATTATTAGTCTCTAACTCAAAAATAAAAATTATAAATGTCATAAACTAATTTTTTAACGTGAAAAATTGATACAAATTTATAATCCAGAATTTTTCCGTTTTATTCGATAAAGCGGAGAACTGCTTAAAGCGGAATTTTTGATTGTTCCCATGTTATTCCACATTAGACAATTTTCACTGTATTATCTTAGTAAATAGATTTTCAATTTAGATGTATTGTTATGTAACAACAAACTTTTTTTAAGATTAAGTTTTTTCATAATGTTTTCTCATTTTCATATTATTTTAAGTAAATTCTTCCATAAAATATTAACTTAAAAATTAAATAATAACTTGCTTGTTAAGGAAGTTTAGTAATCATTCTTTAAATTTTTTTCATGGTATGTAATGTAATTTAATAATAAAAATTATTACATTAATAAAGAAAATAAATATAATATTTAGTTATTTTTATTTTCATTAAATTTTTAATATATTTATAATGTTTTAAAATTAATGGCTAAGTCTACGATATTAATAAATTTGTGACATGAACAATTTTGAATAATCTATAAAAATTACTTAACTAGTCAGATAAACTAGGATAAGAAAACAATTTTAATATCCATTATACTATTATTCAAACATGGTAGGTACACAATATATAGCTTATAGTATATTAAAAATTATAAATTAATAAAATTTAAATTATTTATAAACAGAAAACTGAGGTTTGTTATAGATATCGTATACATCTAATAAGATAACTTAATTAAGAAACTACGTTACTAAGTAATGATATTAGAAAATACTTTGCTTTAATTTATAAGCATAGAAAGGAATTCATTGATTTACTAATATGTGTTTGGGCATGTGATTATTTTTGTATGTCAATACATTTATTGAGTAAAACATTTGTGTGGTAGTTGATAATTTAGAAAGAAATAACCATATAGAGCTTTGATATTTTAACCAAATATTTATTCTATAAAATATCTGGACATGAAATAATTTTCAATGTATTTTGGCTAATTTTGTGTTAATTAAATAAATTTAAAATTTTTAAAGTCTTATTTTAAATTATAAATTATGCATTTTTTCTTGACCGAAAATCTTAAAAATTTAAAATAAGGTTCATTATAAAATCTCTAACTGTAATTGAAAAATATAAAAAATGTATTATCACAACTTTTTTATAAACATTTGAAGTTTCACTTTTAACTAAATTCAAATATTTAAACGAAAAATAATGATTTTTTTGTCTTATTTATAAAATGTATGAATAATTAAAACGTATAATACAATATAAATTATTTAATTAGGTATATGATGTCAATGGCAACAGTTAGTTTATTCCTCGTTACTTAAAAATAAATTATCAATAGTTATATAGATAAATTATAAATATCCTTAAATATAGATATCGACTCTAAAAAAGAAACTTCTATTTCCAACTAGAATTATTTTTCGAATGCAATTATTTATTATTGAATTCAAAATTAACACGTTTATTACAGATTATAGTGAGCTATGATACTTGATGACAAGGTTAACTATATTTAGAGAAATTTCTTCGCTTTATTTATTTTTATTTGTATGTATTTAAATGTATTCTGCTGTTTTTTTATAAGTATAAACATTTTAATAGTTATAAAAGTCCATTAAACGTATTAAATATTATATATTTATATATAATGAAATAATAACATTTCCAATATTTATTTAATAGGTATTAAATATTAGTTTTATTATTTTAATATTTTCTGTATTATATTTGAATATTTATTTTTTTTAATATACAATATCATAATCAATAATACAAATAACAAAAAAAAAAAAAAAAATAATAATATTTATGATAATGATTATAATAATAATAATATTAATATTAATAATAATAATAATAATTCGCTTAGTACTATTTTTATGAAATATGGAAATATATCAACTTTAAAGATATAATTATTTTATACATTTCGAATTAGAAATTTATCATAATGTAACAATAGACAAAGCAAAATAATTAAAATATCTTTTATATAAATCAACAGTCATAAATAAAGTACTATAACATAATATATAATATTTATACTTGTAGCTTATAATTTTGATTTTTCGTTGAACATAATTATCTGGTACAATTTAAACAATTCAAAAATTATATACAAAAAATACAATACTGGTAACGACTAATGATTATTATTTTTTTATTTAAAAGAAGTGGGCCTGCTGTGTAAAGGTTCAAATCAAATGGTATTATTACAAAGGTAGCACAAACACTTTAGCACCTCTGTGTGGTGATTGTGTTTTAAATACCATCTCACCATGTTCGTTAACGTAATCGTTGTAGGCCAGTGAATAAATGCACTGAAACCCAAGTCTTTCGACTGCTTTAGCAGAATAATGACTGGTACACTCAACGTAAATCATTTGACAACCCATTTCCAACGCATATTCTCTAAAAATTAAAATTTAATTTCAATATTATTTATAATTGCATACAGTCAAATAAATATTTGCTAAAACATACATATAATTATATTCCATTGTTATAACGCAGATATTTATAATTTTTAATAACATTTTGTTTCAATAAATCAAAGATATGTAGCACAATTTAATACATTTTTTTATACCTAAATAATTTTTCATTGGTAATAAATAATATTGAACACTGTTTTTATTTCAAATTAAAATTGAAATATGGCCTCGTCCATATGCATACAATTTTTTAGTTAAATTTTTGGCTTGGGAAGAACCGTAAATAGTACCTAATGAATATTTATCAAATGTGACATACCTACATGTTAGTATGTTAATAAAATTCATTTTTGCATACTTAGTTTTATCGACGAGCGCCTTGCATACTCCTTGGCCTCTATAAGCTTCATTCACTGTAACAATTTTTATTTCCAATATACGATTTACATTTTTATACTGGGTAAACACGTCTGCTTCTCGTTTAATTTTGTCTAAGAGAACCACAATGTCCTTAAACTTCAAGTTTGCACTACATGTATCACCATCTTCCTCGTCTTCTTCTTCATCATCTCTATGCATTATATTGTTCAAAATCACACCCATTATGTCACCAGTATGAGATACTGCCATAAATGTCATTCCTGAATATAAAAAGTTAACCAATATAAATACAAATTAATCGAAGTCTATGATTTATATTTAAGTAAAGGTAAAGTTACTTTGAAGAAAAAACTTGTTAATACATTAATTTATTGTTATATAATAACTATTGGTTTCTAATATGTATATTTTAAATATTATATTAAATATCTTCTAATTGAATTCTTTATTTTTAATTTAAATAATTTCATAATTTTAAAAATTTAAGTTCTAATATAATATGTCTACAACTTATGAATTATAGAATCGATCCATATTATTTTTACCATATTGTAAATAGCTGATACAGTAGTTCTCAAGTTTCGCTGCTGAATCTGTTTCTTCCAATAATTGTATCGCTACGTTTAATGGTTCATCGCGGAAAAAGAACTTTCTGAGAAAAGCAGCCACAGTATGTTTATCTTTGGTAGTAATAGGAACTATGCTATAAGTAAATTTTGCTTGGTTTGCTTCATCCATAATGTTACTGTGGTAGATTTTTTTCTGAAACTAAAATACAAAAATATTATTTTCAGTAAAACATATTTATTGTTAATACTTTTTTTTTCGTTTTTTTTTTTCTGTTAAATTTCGTATTTATTTTAAATACATTACTAGATAAGTAATATATAATAATATTACACAACAGCAATTGATTTTAGAAAAAATATTTAATGTATTTATTATATAATAAGCATAGGAAACGCCTAATTTTCATTTAAATAGAATTAATTGAACAAAAAATTTTTTTATAAAATTATTATAAAATTTTGTATAATTAAGCATTTGGCTAGTGGGCATTGGACTAATCATTTAAAGTTTAGATTGTAGGAGTTTAATCAAAAAAATATATTAGATATATATATTTTTATAATAAACATTTGAAGATTATATTGTATTTTAAAATAAATAAATGGATTATTAATGTAAATGTGATGAAAAATTTTATTTAGTATCGTATTTAAGACTAAACGTTTTTTAACAAAAATATAACAAACAATTTAAAATATTTTTATGTATCAGTTTAAAATTAAAAGTAACCGTTTTTTAAGTTGCAAGTATAATAATATCAACATCATTAAAATATGCTATAAGACAAGACTAAACAATGTATTTATAATTAATTTATTGTGTAAATACAAGTGAAATTTCCAATCTAGTATATTTATTAAAATTATTATAATCAGTGTTTATGAATCCCGGATAGAAAAAATTAATAAGTAAAATTTTGCATGAAATTGGAAAATTTGAAGTTCATAAATCAATTATATGTAATTTGAATTATGAACAGGGATTAATAATTTTCTAAGCTCTTTTCAATTTTCAGTTTTACAGATTGATTACTTCGAATATTAGAATAACATATTATTTAGTTTAAAAAGACAACAAAATTTAACAATGGCTATATCTATTCAAATACAAATTTGATTTAAAAAAAAAAAAGGATACGTTAAAAAATTGTGAAATTCTTAAAAAAACCGCATGTTTTATAATGATGGGTATAATTGTATAAAACTCAAATATTAATGATGATTAATAAAAATGAATATAAAATTGTATACCAGTTGATAAGATGAAAGATTGATGGCAAAGCCATTATCAATTTTGGTTGAATATGCCATTTTTCGCGAATAATTTTCACACTATTCAAAATATACGAAGAATCACAATTAAAGTTATAGAGTACAACAACTGAACTCCGACGACGACTTTATGTGCCTGAATTTACAATTTCCATTCTTTATATACTTGGACAAATCATAGAACATTGTACACGCCCAATATCCTAATGCATACAAACGAAATCCAGTTCTGAATGATTATAAAATTAATATAGTTTAATGCCCTTAAACAACTAAACAATGTATTTGTTGTCATAATATTTTTATTCAATGTGAATGTACAGAAATAAGATATAAATCTTTGTTTTACAAACTTTTTGAAACGGAACTCTTTTACTAACAATAGGTATATTTACTATTCGGAAGTCTTAAGTAATTCACTGTAGGTCACGCATTTATTATACCTTTATTTTCTATATCCTGAATTATACGCTATATTATAATTCTGTCACTTGTAAATAATAATCGTGAATCTAAGGGTTATTTAAGAATAATTTACCAAGGTATTTTTCAATTTATATTAATATAAATAATCTGTATTTAAAGGTCAATACATTAAAATGGTAACACTTTATGTTACTTTAAAATGCATATGGCTGTAGCCCATAAGCGCAAACTATGACCCAAACGCAACCCAAAAGCGCAAAAATAAATATTTCATAAGGGCAAAAACATAAATAAATAAATACCTTTTAAACAAACCATAAACGTAAATAAATTTTACAAAAATAAAGTGTATTTTATAAGTTAGATATAAGCTTATACTATATAAATTGTATAGTTATCTTAAATGATTATCAACCTTCACCGTAATTCGTTACGATAATACTAAACTTCAACTGAACTCGATCACTTTTGATGTATTTTTAAATCATAAAATGACTATATATTTAACTAAAATAAATAATTAAATTTAATAATTAATAATTTTGAAATTAAATTTATAGTGTAGCGGGTACAATATTTATTTTTGTGCTTTTATTCCACCACTAAGGTACAAAAGCGTAAAATGGATTTGCACTTTTGGTCTATAGAAAAAAATCGACGATTTGCGCTTTTGGGTGTCACTGATATATATTATATAAAATTAGAGCTGTAAAATATAAATCTAAATGTGATTGCAGGTGTATGTGAATTACTCACACATTTATTATAGTGTTACATAAAGTTACTTAAATTAATTACAAATATATTTACATTAATAAATTTGTATTTAATCGGTTAATTATACTAAAACTACTAAAAAACTAATTATTAGTTCTAATGTTATCCCGATACAAATAGGTATAATTAGTGTATGTTACAGACATATTAGCTCTTCATAAGTAATTTTAGATTTCTAAATTACCACCAAATGTAATACCTTTTGACTAAAGTATATTAAATTTTTATACAATCAACAACGTCATTAACATTTGAACCTTAATAACTGATGAATTTTATCAAATATATACATATAAGTTTATTTATATTATTAAGTAGTTGTTCTAAACTAATATTTAATGATATTACTTATGCAATAATAAATTAATAAAAATAACTATTGAATTTATTAATTATCTATATTTTATAAACAATTATTTAATTATAAGTTCTAAACTTAAAAATTTTATAAATAACGTAATATTTAATATTATATTGTTTAGAATGTATTCTACACTTACATAATAGTCGTAACAAAACTAATTTAACAAAATTATTTTTATCAAAATCCGTAGTAAATATATAAAGTGTCATGTTTAAGGGACTGCTTTTTTTCTTATAATTTTATATCACACGATAACAGTAAATTAATATATATAAATAAAAGTGTCTAAGCTAAAGTGTGTTATCTTGAAATTTTAGTCTTTCGTTTTAAATATAAATATTACATGGTTTCGCCATTTTATAAACATTATATTATTAATTGTATAACCCAAATAAAAAAATAAAACAATTTAATAAAATATATGATAAAAATAAAAATTGCTTAAAGGCTATTCATACTTCATAAATTTATTTGTGTGTGTTTATGTAACTGGAAAGTTTTTTGTATTTCTTGTATCTAAGTGCTTTTATTCAAAATAAATAAATAAATAAATAAAATAAAAATTGTTTGAATATAAATAATATTGATTTGTGTTAACAATAACTAATATATTAGCAAAGTAATACAAAGTAATAGTAAAAAATAGCAATAAAATAGCTTAAAATATTTATTCATTTAGATTGAGAATGTTTAAGAATTTAAGAAAAGGTTATAATACGATAATATACATCCAAGGAGCTTTAATACTACAGTTAAAGTTAAATTAGGCTAAAATGAAAAAAATGAAAAAATAATCAAAGATATTTTTGAAAAAATTATACATTAAATTACAAAGCATAATGTTTTCCAAAACTTTAAATTATTTATGATTTATCTGCAGGATATTCATAAATATTTATTTGTTATATATTTTCACTATAATTAAACTATAGAAAAACAGTTATACTTTTTTATTACTATTTGAATTTGATTGAAAGTAACTATTTATAAACAATGAATTGATAACTTTGATTTTAACTTTTAAACATTAAACATGATTGTAATACCTTTAGTAGTGAAGGCCGAAAAATATCGCAAAATCATACTTTTACACTTTGCCCTATTTTCTATTGGCATCACGATAATGAAAGTCACGATTAAAAAAATAATCAAAAGGTAAATAATAGGTATTTTATACACTGATGCAGTAATGTTCCAGTTGCATAACAAGCCCTAAAATATTGAGCTATAACCACATAAGGAGAAATTTATTGTACTTATTAGTGAGGGAGAGAGGCTGAGATTATTATACATATTAAATTTAAAGGTACTTTATGGTTTACTTTGCTCACAATTATTAATTCCACAGAAAAACTTACGTTTTATTTGCAAAAAAATTAGTACATAGATACTACACTAAATACTTTTCAGAAATTTAACCATAAAAATTTTGAAAATTCTTGAATATTTTAAATGTATTATAAATTTCCAAGTATAAGTTATTAAAAATTATTAAAACCAAATATGCCAAGTAAATGACAATGCTCAAAAATAATTTCTTTGCTAAAAATTATTATTTTCTTCGTTATATTTTAAAGTATAATTTTAATTTTATACATACATGATACATACACACTAGCTGTATATGAACAAACATAAAATACGATGCTATATCAATATATTATTTCGGTTTTAGTGTAAGTTCATTTCATGGGTAATTGGCATCAATGTACTTAGATTTGTGAACTAACTAAACCAAGATGGACAATCTTTCCGTGGTAAACTGAATATTTTTTAATGTGGTTTAAACTTCAAACCATTCTCTAAATTTCTTAATATTTCTAAACACAATTTTGGAAATTTTTATTAAAATTGGTTTAGAGTTATTGAGTCTATAAACTATAATATAAGAGACATTTTTTTTGTTTTATATTTTAAAAACAAATAGGTGCTTAATAAATTAAATACACAAATCCCATAGCAACGCATGGGAGAATGGCTTTAGTCTATACCTACCATTTTTTCTTTCATTAATGATATCCTTAGTGGTGCAAAAAACACACTTTAAGAAGTGCAAAATAATTAAGAAGTCGGTAAGTGGGTAGGTGATTGGATAAAATAATAGAATACTGCAGAGTTTCAAGTCTTTTTACTAAAATTTTATTAAACACAAAAATCAAAATAAATTATTTATATTTAAAATGGTATATTTGCACATAATTATGATTAAAAAAAATAATGTTCAAAGGAATGGTAAATTGAAAGGGGTGGGTTAATTAAATTATATAAATTACCTATTTCAATTTTATTCTAAGTTACTGAGCATAATACATTATACAAACAAAAAACTATTTGTTTTTTATGGACCAAAAGGAAATTCTTGTGTTAGCCACCCTATATAGCAACCTATAAAGAAATTAAAAAAACCTAAAAACAACCACTGATTCTTAATAAATCAAAGTAATATTTGTATACATTTTATTTAAATCAGTTTAGTAATTTCTAAGATTAACCTTTATAGATAATAAAAATGCATTCCTAGAGTATTTATATATACGTGCTCAAAACATATTTATTTTAGTACAATATATCAGTTTTATTTTAAAAACTATAACCTGATTATAAATTTATTTTTTTTTTTAAATCTTTTTTAATATTTATATTAGAAAGGTCTTAAAATCTATTTAGATCTATTTTAAATCATATCTATGTTTTATTTTACGCATGAGCAGAACGCTCACATATGGTTGTAATTATTAGTAATGTTGAGGCAATCTTTAGAAGTTAATTAACATTTAGGTAGACATTTGTAATTCACAGACATCTAAGTTTTCTATTTTTTCAAGAAAAAATCATATTTTTTCAATTGTTAATGTAAAATAGTTATGTTGCATTTAAACACTTTATATTTTATTTATACTTTAAAGTTTTGGTCGGATGTTGACGCTGAATATAATATAATCGAATACCGATTAGTAAATTCAATTAATTAGCTTAAACAAAATTAGACTGTTTAAATGATAAAAAAAGCGCAGATAAAATAAAGGAAATGTCATCTCGCTTCACCCACCTTAGCACAAGTTATTGTTGAGTTATTATTTTTGATTTTAAAACTATAAAATATATTATATTATTGTTTATAATTTTTGTAACTTCCATTTCATTACAATAAAAGTACTAAAAGTGTTTTTTTAAAACTGATTAAGTATAAATATATTATCGTTTTTGCGTTTAATTAGATTTAATTTGCTATCAACCACTACTATCAAAGCTAAAGATGAAGTATATTTTCTAATATAAAGTGTCTGTAAACAAGAAAAAAAAACAAAAAACAGTGGGACCTTCTGATGTATAAGCACTAAACATACCTTTAAGCCAGTGTTTCTTAACTTCTTTTACTCGTAGAACTTTTGCAGGAGTTTGAACATTTTATTTTTTCTTTAGGTAGTCAGTTATGCAGACATATGTTTTGTATACTTAAATGAGTTGATCGTTGGACACTTCTAGAACAAGAGTATCATCGATACACACAAAAAAAAATTAAGACAGTTTAAAAATAAAAATTATTAAGGAACAGAACAGGTACCACTGAACCAAAAATAAATGCTACGTAACAACTAACAATATTGTTATGGCATTATTAACGTTATATAAAACAAACATGTCGTATGTATATGAAAAGGAAACGTCCTAATGATTTGTGAGCTATTGTAAGTTCGAATCATAATTCAAATCAATTGTATTATTTGTCAATTGATCTTTTTCCAAATTTCTCACAGAACCCTTAAGTTTCGCGGAACACCAGTTGGGAAACACTGCTTTATACACAGGTCTTGTTTCGCTATTGATGCATTTTAATGGGATCATGACGCCGAACCGACAACCATTGGCCCAACGAGACATCAAGATAACACGATATTGGTTCGACAGGATATTAAACCGAAATATTTTTATTAAATAATGATTTTATTCTACCTACACTTCACCGTCCTATTCTCATTGTAATACATCTGAAAGTTATAAGTGTTTTGATACTTTTGAAATTTAACTAAGTACTTATTCAGTACTCTACTTATGTTAGGTTTGACGTAACAAGTTCAGAAAGGAGGATATTACTTTTTACAAAAAAATTATATAAGACGTGTGATAGATAGTTATTATGATCAATTTTAAGATGCGAGTAGAATGTAATTAGTGATTAAAGATAGAGTTTAATATCGTTAAAAATGAAACAAAAATAAAATGAAATAAAATAAAAATAAACAAAATAAAATAAAACACTTATATTTGAAGTTTTTATAGCATAAGACTTTTATTATTTTTTATCATTATTATTTTTCTAAAAAGGTATTTAAAACTTGAAACTATATAAGCTCTCTTTATTTTATTTATATAAATTATATAGAATATTAGAATGGTTGTAAAAACCTAACTTATCCTGTAACTAATTTAAATTAATTAAATGTTATTTTATGTATAATTATACTTTTTACTACAGATTTGATAACAAATGTTTCCTTAAACGTAAAGAACACTATTACAAGTATAATAAAAAATTGCGAATTTTATCCTTGTATTACAAATTTACTTTTATATCCAGTTAATTAACATTAACTGGATATAAAATCTTGGCATTTATATTAATTTTAATATTTATATAATATATAACATTCGATAATAAATCCATTTTAAATGAGCACTTAAAATACATCGGACATCCTATTATTATACTACTATATTATATTTTATATATTTAATATAAAAATACAAATTTGTATATAACGTATAGTAGACCAGGTTTCGATCAACAGATAAATTTATTCTGCATAACATTCAAAGATTTATAATTATTATACTTTCAAATTTTAAAACATCAGCTTGAATGATTGGTTATATTAGTTTTCAAAATTTAAATAATTATTTGGGCGTAACTAAATCATACGTAGTTTTGTTTAAAATGTTATATCATTTCCCGATTTATTAATCTCGTCCTCGAAAATTGCAAATTTATGTACTCAATCAAACTGAGGCAGTGCTAAGGTCAGCGGAATTTATGTTGATAATGATAAAGTTACCGTTCACCTTTATTATTGTTGTTTCGGATCCGGTCGGCACGTGCAGGAGAGTTTAAGCAAACTCTTATTGCCCATACATATTCTACATATTGAAAGTGTATTATTATTAAATATAAATATTATATTATGCGTAATGCTTCGTAAACATCGTGTAAAGCAGTCGTAACCAAGATCTGTTTTAATACACGTTGGTTCAACTAACGAGAGTTTTGTGATCGCGTGACCCACACAACAGCATGCGTATAGACATGTCCACGTGCTGTATTTTACTTCGTTTATTATGTTGTGGTGAGTAACGTGATAAGGTGAAAATCCTGGTTCAAAACATACCTTAGTATTTTTACCGCTCGTAGCGATAACTGACACTGAAACGTTCCGATATACTTCTAATGTTCATAAATCATGCTATATCAGAAGGCCATCAAGGTCATCTTAATTCTTAAATGATATTAATGTATATGCATGAAAATATGTTTTGTATGCTTTTTTTAAAAAAAAAAAAAAAAAAATATGAAAAATGTACATTAATATTGCATTATTTCAAAGGGCAAACTGATAATGGATGCGAGAACTATAAAAATTGAATTGTCTCATACAGTGTTTCCTAAATGCTAACCAAGTTTTTTTGTATAACTCGTATTCTGAAATCTAATATTATATAGTGCAAGACTGTGAACTCAAAACGTGTTCATCGTGTACCATTGAAGAGAAATGTTTACTGTTTAGCATAATTTTTAATTTTTTTTAAAACTTGAAAATGCATAACTCAGTGAATACTTAATTGTTAATAAAAATGAATAGTTTAGCTTTTAATTTATTTCAGGTAAGACTTACAAATTTTGACATTGAAAAATGTTTAATTTAAAAAAATTCTAAAAATTCTTTATAAATTAATAAATTTATTCTATTAGAAAAAATTAATCAATTAATAATTTATCTTAAAAGTAGCAACATAATTTAACATTATCCATTTGTTTACAAAAAATAGCATTTATTTATCCTAACCTTTATTTAAAGCACCTTAATTTTTGTAATGACCTCTAAATGTAAGTAAGTACCTTTCATAACAATATCAAATTAATATTAAATATACTGCCGGTTTTTGTCAATGTGTTCTGGCTTATTGGCTGTTAATAATTTGGAAATTATAGTACTTTGTTTAAAGAACTTTATATTCTAACCACTTTCACATACGTACAATAAATTTAATTAATCATTGAAGTGTCATCCGTTTATAAAGATTATATAAAATATTGTGTAATTGAAATTAAAGTAATTCTACTATTTGTAATTTTCCAATAATAACTATACAATTATTTAGACATTAATTATTATTTAATACTACTGTCTATTAGTAATATTGTTAGTTTTAATATTATTTTTTTTTATAAAAACGATTTTCTTATTAGTGTAAAGATAAAGAAAATAACTGTTATCAAGAATAATATATAAGTATATCATTATTTTTTGAGGGTGGCTTTGAGTGTTTTTTTTTTTTTTTTTTTGTAGGGGCTAAGTCCCCTCACCTTATTTTTGCTACTTATCTACACACACATATACAAACATTTTACGTAATACAGAAAAATAAATTATAAGTTAATGATCCTCAAAAATATACTATAAAGTAGAATGATAGGCGTCCCCAGAAGGGAGGGAGGCAAGACGCGACACTTGCCCACTTAAAATTTTAATTTTTTACCTAATTGTAATAATTTAATGTAATAATTTTTGAGTGCATTTTTTAAAAATTTTTAAGTCATCAAGTTTTGGGGCCCTAGTTATTAATATTATTTTATTACAATATCAATTAACAATATTTTTGGTCTTCATTCAAATAAAGACCAGGTAACATCAATAGTATTATAAAATTATTAATACCTTTATAACTATTATAAATTAATACTGACATGTAAATAGTAAATAGTATAAATTTCGTTTAAATATTTTTTAAATGTTATTATAAATGGAAAATTATAATTTAAATAATAGTAAAATGTTTCAAATGCTAACTTAATGTATTATTTTTAAATTATAACAAAAATCATTTTTTTTTTTTTAAATAACGTCTATTTATAACTCAAAAGAGTCTAATTTTATAGAAAATAATACTACATGTAGAAAATATATATATATGAAAGTTTTAAATCTCCACAATTAATGTTTTTGAAAAAGTACTGAAATTTTTGCTTTTGACCTCTTCGATATACCAACTAGATGTAATTTGCGACCAGAAACCGCCTCTAAAGATGAAAATCAAAGCATTTTTATTGGCTCAAAAAGTGATGAAAGACAAAAAATACACACATGCATGCATATACATTCTTTGGTCATTGGTCCGCTCAAAAATAAATTTATTTAAATAAATATTTATTAATATGTCTTTTTTCATTGATTACTCCTGGATATTTTATTTCTATAACTCCCTATCCCCTAGTTAGTAAAGTATAGATAAATCATTATCACTTTACAAGTGCAAAATAATATTTCAGTCTTCCTCAATTCTATTTAGATGGACAATCAATTGAGTTATAATAGAAATATCTGCCATGGGTAATGTAGATAGAATTTAACCAAGGTTAAGTTAAGGTTTTCACAAAAATTACTTCCTATATTTATACTTGTCATTTTGAAAGCTGGAACCCGATTGAACAAGATTGCAATCAAACAATAGGAACCCAAAAAACAACACAATTGAGCACGAAAATAGGTGCAATTACGTTGCTACTTTGTACCGTAGAATATTATTATTAAAAAACAAAATATATTGAACATAAATATTTATAAATAAAAATCTGTTTTTGATAAATGCAGCAAATGAGTTTGTATTATACAATAGTATAAAATTATTTTATACAAACGGTATAAAAAAAATTAAGATGTTATTTTTAGTTATTATTGTCATAAATAATATTTTTATTATTTATTATTATCATTTCTAATTGTAATATGTTTATTTAGCATTCGTGTGTTAGAAATTACTTAAATCAATTTTATTATTATAATATTATTAATATAGATACAATGAGATAGTATATAAGTATTAATTATAGTTTTCGATATATTTCTATTTAAAAATTTAACATAATTAACAGGTACTTTTATTTATTTAAAATTTTTAAAGTTAAGATAATTTTTTTTACTAAATTTCTAATATTTAATATAAGTACTTATAGTACTTACAAGAAGTAAAAAATTTAGAACTAAACAGTTAGTAGATATGTTTATGTTAATTGATAGATAATGAGGTAACTTAAGTCCGAAATTATTTTGAAATTTATTAGGAAAATTTATTTGTTATTTTAAAAATATAATTTACTATGAAATATGAATTGTAATTAAAATATTTTAAACTTAAATCATCTCCAGTTACAACTCACCAAGTAAATGAACTTATTTTGAATTATAGTTTTCTATCTATCCCAGTTATT